CACGTGACAATTTATGTTGTTGAAAAATTCAAGGTCAAATTGAAAAAAAAAACCCTCTAAGCCATTTCGTTCTAAAACAAAGCGTCAGTAGGACCTCAAATTGTTCATGTAGGAGGACAAAAATTCAACTGCCCAATAGAGCGGAACTTTAGTTTATAGTTTTTTTTCTAGGAAAACATCCAATTCGCCCCCCCCCCTTTTTTTTTAACCCCAAGCGCTACATTTTGGTTGTTGAGAACAATTTCTGGGATGACGTGACATCTTCAGACAACCAAATCAAACACCTCCCCCCCCCCCACACCTTTTTCGGTCCCTTTGCAGAGCTACTCTTTGAATAACCCATTGTACATCTATTTTTAATTTGGTGTGCAGTACATATATTTTGCTGGGTGACTAAACCATAATCAGAAATACTAGCATGCCGAAGATTTAACACTAGAAAAGATGGTCATTCACCGAATGGAACTCAAAATTGTTTGTTGTTTTTTTTTTAAGCGGCAAGAATGTTAGTTAAGGAAAGCAATTGATAGCATATTTGGTTCTTTTTTCTCCCATGTTACAAGAATATAAGAAGCATAAGGTAAACAAAATCTTTCTAGACGACACAGCCCTACAACTACACACCACTAAAACAACACACCACCTACAACAACACACCACCTACAACAACACACCACCTACAAAACACACCACTACAAGTACATACCACCTACAACAATACAACACTACAACAACACACCACCTACAACAACATGTCACATACAACAACATACCACCTACAACAACACATAAATGCAACAAAAAAACGCATACAGGACCACATCACAAAAAAACATACCACTACAAAAACACAACACATACAACATCACACCACCTATAACATTACACCACTAAAAACTCACCACCTACAACAACACACCACCTACAACAACACACCACAAACAACAACACACCACATATAACAACACTCCACCAAAAACAAACAACATTTACCTACAACATTGCACCACTAAAACAACACACCACCTACAACAGCACACCACTACAGCAACACATCCCTACAACAACACAACACTATAAAACACGCCACTTACAACAACACACCACCTACAACAACACACCACATATAACAACACACCACCTACAACATTACACCACTACAGCAATACAAACCATACAAAAACACATACTTTACCACAACACACCACTAAAACAACACACCAATACAATACCACATCACATACAACAACACGCACCTACAACATTACACCATTATAGCAACACACCACCAACAACAACACACCACCTACAAAACCACACCACTACAACAACACACCCCTACAACACCACATCACATAAAACAACACGCACCTACAACAACACACCACCTACCACAACACATCACTACAACAACACACCACTACAACAACACACTGCCCACAACATTACACCACTACAACAACACACCACATATAACAAAACACCACCTACAACCACACACCACTACTACAACATACTACATATAACAACAAACCACTACAACAACATAACATATAACAACACACCAATACAATAACACACCACATATAACAACACACCACCTATAACATTTCACCCCTACAACAACACATCACTATAACACACAATGAGGTGCTCGTTTCATTATCTACCTATATATCGTATTCACTGGTGAGCGGAAATAAAGTCATGGAAAATACTCACAGAAAAAGGCACATGAAAAAGAAAGGCACAGAAAAAAAGGCACAGGTACAGAAAAGGGCACGGGGAAAAAAAGGCACAGGTACAGAAAAGGGCACGGGGAAAAAAGGCACAGGAACAGAAAAGGGCACGGGGAAAAAAAGGCACAGAAAAAAGGCACAGGTACAGAAAAGGGCACGGGGGAAAAAAGGCACAGAAAAAAAAAAAGAAAGGAAAAAAAAAAAAGGAACAGGTAAAAAAAAGAGCACGGGGAAAAAAAGGCACAGGTACAGAAAAGGGCACGGGGAAAAAAGGCACAGGTACAGAAAAGGGCACGGGGAAAAAAAGGCACAGAAAAAAGGCACAGGTACAGAAAAGGGCACGGGGAAAAAAAGGCACAGAAAAAAGGCACAGGTACAGAAAAGGGCACGGGGGAAAAAAGGCACAGAAAAAAGGCACAGGTACAGAAAAGGGCACGGGGGAAAAAAGGCACAGAAAAAAGGCACAGGTACAGAAAAGGGCACGGGGGAAAAAAGGCACAGAAAAAAAGGCACACGTACAGAAAAGGGCACGGGGAAAAAGGCACAGAAAAGAGACACAGGTACAGAAAAGGGCATGGGGAAAAAAAGGCACAGGAAAAAAGCACAGGTACAGAAAAGGGCACGGGGGAAAAAAGGCACAGGAAAGAGACACAGGAAATAAACTCACACATTTGTATTAAAAAATTAAGTTAGAAAATAAATAAATCTGAAAGAAACAATTTAAAAAAATTAGAATTCTTTATTATTCTGCAAAAAAAATAGCAAAGTAACATTCATGTAACTGTTTCTTCAAGATAAGGAAAAATATGATGAGCTTAAATAAATTGTGACAAGTTTGGGGAACAAATGAATTTATATATCTTTTGGTCCAAATCCGCAAGGACCACACTCAGGCAATTTATTGCTTTGTCTGGCCGACATTAATATCTGCTGAAGCGTTACTGAGCAGGACGCTCTTGACCGGCCGCTCACGAAGAACAGCGTCCAGGACCCCGGTCCGACGTATTCGTAACCGTTAAAGTCAAAACCAGGATCAAGGACCCCCCCCCCCACTGATAAGCAGTGGACGCGGATA